TATGTTTTAATTATATAAAACTTAATTATATAAAATTATTAACTTAATTATATAAAATTTTTCTATGAAATAATTTATTGTTTAACATATAAATTTATATTACTTATACTTACCTGTAATTCACCTACAGCATTAACAAAAGGTACATTTGTTATCTTTGGTGGAACAGAAATAGAATGAAACGGTGACCTTGATGGAGATGCTACTGGTGTATTAGCAGCTGGCAGCTGTAGATAGTTTTTATGTGCAGCAATCTCTGATAACATAGCTTTAGCAGCTTCATGTTTTGCATCTTTCTTACAACGACCTGTACCAGTTGCACTGAGACCATCACATGAAACTCGATATGTAAAAGTATTTACATGACGTCCTCCACCATCATGTATCAATTCATAATCAGGTATCATACCCTGCTTTACCATCATCTCTTGAAGAATAGAGACTGGTGTTTTACTCATGTCGATCAAATTAAAGATTGCTTTCTAATTTTTAATAATTTATTGCAAAATTTGCAATTACTTATCTATATATATTTACTATTGTATATACAAAAACTTATTCTGAACATATTCTGAAAATAATAGTTAATTTTATTAAATTTACAACTTATAACAGCACACATTCACAGATATACAAATAAATAAATATAAAAATGCTAAATGATACAAAAACATTATACAATATTATATATAATAATTATAATCTATTTTGTTATTACAATTTCTGAAAAGAATTTTAAAATTTTATGAAAAAACTTGTACTCTAACTTCAAAATAATAAATTTCAAAATATATCTTGAGACAAAAAATAAAATTGTATAAATGCATCAATGTTATATAACATTGTACACCACATTGTAACATTGTAAACATTATTATAAAAACTCATTCTTTACTCAAAAAATATATATTATATTATAATTATATATACATAATACAATCCCAAAATTTAAAAACAAATAATTGGAATAATTTTTTAATGTTTGAACATAAATGAAAATGCAATTTAATTTACTTTTAGTCACATAATTTAATATGTTTTCTCTTTTTTTAATATGGATTAATGTCTATTTCAATGTAGATTAACTTTAATCTCGATTTTATATATTTTTCACCTTTTTTTTAAATCTTAAAACTTAAAAAAAAGAAAAAAAAACAAGTTTAAGTAAACCAGAATAAAAAATTAATTTACACCTGATCTGTTTTTCTATAACTGAACTACACTTGTTGTACTTAAAATGTATATATTTAAAATTTGATAAAGGCGAAGTAGAAAGTTTTAGTGCAGTTTAGTGCAGGAAAAAAAATGAACTTATTGTTTAAAATGAACATAAGTGTAAAACTTTTTGATTTTTATCGGTTATGTTTAACATAATTCATTGGTATAAGTTTTTACATACAATTATAAACTTGGGTATAAATGACCAACACCGTGATAAGACTTTACAGGCACTAAATCTTAAATCTAGTAGTCTGCCGATAGGAAAATATACATTACAAATTGCAAAATTAATTTCCTCTATATCTTATTCTTACTCTTATTGTACTTTGTATGCAAGCGATCTACATTGCGTTCCAAAACCTTATTCAGTTAAGCCACAGTAGAAAATAGATAATCGAAACAAAGCCTACCTTCCACTCGAAATCGAGAAACGAAGAGAGAAAATAGCTTCCTATCTCTTGGGAGATAATGTATATATTTAAAATTTGATAAAAATTTTATAAAATTTATAAGGATCAATTTTGTATTTTACTTCGACTCTTAAAATTATGAAATTACGATTAAAGTTCAAAATATTCATGTTTTTCACTGCACGTTTTATATCGTAGTTTGATTTTTTTGTTTATCTGAACTCTAAATACATAATCTTACACAATTGCACATATAACGTTTGACTCGATAGGAGTAACGATCGCCGTACTACAATAAATTTTACGCGTCATATGCCTCGAGATAGAATCAGTTAAAACGAGTTGAAAAAATTCTATCCATGATCGACTGCTTGTCGACAGCTTCACATGTTTAATGATCTTCCTAAAGCTTTGTGTCCACGATGCTAGAAATCAGTCCAATACTTCGACGAAAAGAAAATTGACCAATTGAATAATTCGATTAATTAACTAATGTGATTGGTCAAGTCTCTCTCAATCTCGAATCGGTTTCTAGCATCGTGGATACAAGGCTTAATAAATTGTTACAGAAAATAAATGAATAGCATATATATAAATTTGTATATTTTAAATAAAATAAAATATAATACAAAATAAAATCAAAATTGCTAAGTAAAAGTATGTTGTTTCATCATAAAAAATTAAGGCTGCGTTCCGATATTCACTGCAAGCATTGAAAATCTATAATATACGTGACATAAACTATATATTTTTAATACTGGTAGTGAATATCGAAACGCAGCTTAAGAAAATGAAAGCTGTGTTTCAAAATTCTTTGTCAATACCGAAAATGTATAGTTTGTGTCACATTTATTATAGATTCTCAGTATGGCAATAAATTTTTTAGAACACAAATTAGAGCGAAATAATTGTATAAATCTAATAAATAAAATTTAAGAAATATTTAGAGATAATACATACATATATGTTTATCTTAATTCATTTAAGATATTTACAATGTAATGAATTAATCTTTTGTAATTTTTTTAGTTATATTATTTATTTAATAATTAAGATTTTATATTTTTATTAAAGTTATTTGTATATTTAGATAAATATGTATGTATGTTCTGTGTTAGTCTGAAAAATGAGTTATTGCCTGAAATTTCTAAAGGAATAAATATGATTTTGCAAAAAGAGAAGATGGGAAAAAAATGTCTCTCAAATTTAAGGTATAACTTGCTTGATGCTACGAATATTCTAAAATATAAAGGCTGCATTTCGAAATTCACTGCCAGTACTGAAAATCTATAATATACGTGACTTGAATTATATATTTTCAGTGGCAGTAAACGCAGCCTAAGTAGAATATTAATATAATAATTAATATAAAGTAAAGGCAGTATTCGATAAATTAATTCAAATAAAATAAAGTCACAAGAAATGCAGTGAAATACATGAAATAATAATTCTTACATACAACATTGTATAATATCAAATTTTATTTGTGTGAAAAAGCTAATATTTTATTTACATGAAACTGATAATCATGATTAATATTAAATGTTTTATTAAAAATACGTGAAAAACTCACACACTTTATTTACAAAAATAAAAGGCAATTATACATTAGCAGATTATAAATAGCAGAAGATTGCAATTCTTAAAGATTAAATAAATTTAGATTGGACAATTTCACGAATTGCCTTTCAAATGAAAGCACCAATTACAATGTCTACAAATCCTTGGTTGTTTTCAATATAACTAATAAATATTAATTTTATAGAATGCAAACATTTATAAACGGTTGTATTATTAATTTTATTGAAAATTAAATGTAAAAATTGTGTTCGTAGATTCAGATAAAAAACTCGATTTAATTTTTGTATTTCGAGATCATATGTTAAGGTTAGGTCAAAACAATATATCATATATGTAGGCAGAAAGTTATACTAATTATAATTGTTCATATTATTCGAAAACAGAACTAGCAGATACTATTAAATAAATTATTTGAATGTATTTCATGTGTTTTAATCTTACGATTACCATATTGTAATTATATTGATATTTTGTGATAATAAAAAAAATGAGAAGCCTAATAGGCGTACGTTTCTGTGCCAACATTCAATTAAGAAATTATGCAGTGATTTCAACATTACAATTAATGAAAAAGTCTATGCATCAATGTATATCAAATAAAGGAATATATTGTTTTAAAAACCAACAAAGATCTTTACAAATCATCCAGCGTTGTGATATCTTAAATCTTTCACTTTGCGATTGTGTCAAAGTGGATAAAGGAAGAAACATTTCTATTCTAACTTCTATATTGGCAAAAAGTAAAAACCGTGGCGAAAAGAAGCAAAAAACACAGCATATTGATTATAATGAGTTTGAACAAGTTGTTGATGTTAATAAATTAACATCTCAATTCGACAAGGCAATTGAAAATTTAAAAGATAACTTTACTCAGCATTTGTCACTACGAACAAGTGTAGGTGCTATTGAGATGTTACCTGTAAGGTTTGAAGGCAAAGATTATATGTTGCAAGAGCTTGCAGAGATTAATCGCAAGCCAAAACTTATAGTGCTGAATGTATCTATTTTTCCACAAGCTATTCCAGATATTTTGAAAAGTCTTATGAAAAATCAAATGAAATTAAATCCACAACAAGATGGAACTACAATTTATATACCTATTCCTAAGTAAGTTTTTAATTGTAAGAGAGAATATTATAATCTTGTTATTGAATACTAATAATTTTCATACTAATAATTTTATATATTTTCTTAAATTTAAAATAAATTTTTTTAATATTGGTGTACTTTTTTTAGTATAGAGTATTATTAGCTGTATTTATATAAAAATTTTTATTTCTTCTACTTTTATATAAGTTTTTAAGCCTATTTTTATTTAATTCTGTAAATAAAGAAATATATTGATTTTTATATTATTTATTTATATTATTTAAAATAAAATAATATAGAAATATTAAATAAAACAATTATTATTCTTATTCAGATTGATGTAAAAATATTTATATATTTTTTATATTACAGAATAACAAAAGAACACAGAGAAAATTTATCTAAAAATGCAAAGAGTTTCTATGTGAAATGTTGTGACAATGTTAGACAAATACGCAATAAACAAATTAAAATGGTAAAGCAAAAGGAAAATCTAGCTAAAGATCTAGTATTGAGACTAGAAAGTTACATAGATATTCTTAGTCATCAATATATAGCTAATGCTGAACAAATATTGAAAATCAAACAAAAAGAATTATTAGGTGATTCTGAATAAATTGTTCTCATTTCAATAATTTGCAATTTTAAAATTTGGTAATTGTTATTCTGCTATAATTTTTGTATACATATATAATAAAAATATACAATATATATATATATATATATGTATGTATATATACATACATTCATTGTTATATTTTTCTTTTCATTTAATAAATGTACATGTATATGTTTTATATAACAAATTATATAATTAGAATATTTAAAATGCTAGAATTATTATAAAAAATTTGAATACTACAAGGATTTTAAGAAATTCTGATTAAAAAAATAAAGTTTATTGAAATGTATTTTTACTTTGCCGTATAATAATGTCCTCTTGAATTATTAACATAATACAAGTTTTTTTCATATCTTCATAATATAAAAATGTATATCACAAAATTTAAATTTTGGTAATATTTAATGCATGTTAGAATTGTTGCAATCTATTTTCTGATTATATAATTTGAATAGTATTTGAATAATAATAATATAAATGTCATTAACCTTAAATTAAACTTTACAATTTATTGTACAATATTTTTTAATAATAATTTTAAAACACTCCTTACGAATATTTGAAATTGTTAAGAATTTTGTAGCAGATTTTCAATTTACAACTGATAATATTTAATATTTTATATAATACACTTAAAAATTTCTATCTATAGTTATAATTGTTTAGGAACTGTCTAAAATATAAATTTTATACAAAAATCTTAAAATATATATACATTATACATACTCTTTATTATACATACATTTTCTCGTAGTCTTTATTATACATACATTTTCTCGTAGTCTTTATTATACATATGTATTTATAGATTTTATTATACATATGTATAAAATATTTATTTATATATAATACTTTTTTTATCTTGTTTATAGTATCTAAATAATATAGTATCTGAATCTCTAAATATAGTATCTGAATAATATATCTTATATATTTCTTGGTCTGTTTTTAAGCATTGATTCAGTTAGAAAACTAATCACTCTTGTAATCAAGCAAGAGCTGTATCTTTTATACAATCACCTTGTTGTCTAATATATGTTAAAAGTGCCTTGCATAAAGTTTGCGTCGCAGTCTTTAAAACTTCTTTTGTGTGAAAGCCTATACTTATACGTAAAAAATTTTTTGCTTCACCTGTATATGAAAATCGAGCACCTGGTATCGCTGATACTTTGTATTCTTTTTGACACCATTTGATAAATTTTGTAGCATCCAAATCTTTAAAGAAACATATAATTTTATGAAAAATGAAAAATAATTAATATATGTATATAATATAATTAAAATATAAATTAAAACATATATATATATATATATATATATATATATATATATAATATAA